AGCAGTTAAAATTAGCTGTCAGAAGACATTACACATTACACGTCAGATTTCCTTCGTCGGAGTGGGAGAAGCAATTGATATAAATTGCAGGAGGGAATTTAAAATTTAAACCGGATCTGGAGATTTGTTGATCAGTTCAGAAGCTGGTCTCATAAGGTGAGGTTTCTACGTGGAACTCTGCGTCTCTAGAATATGAAGCTCAACCACGCCTACTCGACCAATCAGCCGCTATCTCTCACGTGTTTTTTACCGTTTCAGGTATACAATTTTCTGGCCGAAAAAAGTTGCTTCTGCGGTAGTGGAAAATCACCATCTCCCATCACCTCAGGCCACTGTTACAAGTGTTTCGTCACACGTATCCATGCTTCATTTAGAGTAAGGCCAAGGGATCTATCGCTCAGCGCTCTGGCCTTTTATATTTATCATACCTTCCCTTCGCGCTGCGTACACCGGCCTGACAGTAATAGTTTCATTCGTGATTTTACTCCGCGCTGCTTTCCTCTAAGTACGAAAGTATCAGTATAAGCCAATTCTGATCTTCAGTAGGTCTTGTAGCAACGTTATTTGTGTAGCATGTTTAACGACGCTGCCTGCAGCTCAGGTTACTTAGCTCCGAATGATAGGATAAGCAATGAACAATGTGATGATGCTGTTAGAGAGACTCGCCGGTAGATTCCAACGTCTCGGAAAAGAAATACTGTCTTCACCTTTTGGGCTTCGGAAAAGTTAAGAAATGTCATGAAGGAACTTCAAATGTTGTAATTTGAATCGAGTATTTCTCAGATACAAAATACGAAACATGAACATCACTACGCCATGACATTCGGATATCATTTGACAGAAACTGACTCACGTTATTAACGGCACACAGAACAATATAATAATCAGCAGCATCGGATACTGAGCCACTTAGCAAGTTGGTAACTCCATTTGGATCGTACGAGAATCTGTAACGTGTTCTGTCTACTTTGAATGAAAACGATTGTTAACATAGCAATCTTCTGATTTTAAATTACCCATCACTGGCACACGCACAAAGAAAACATAAGGCAAGTAGAATATTACGAAACTATATAATTTTATGTCAGATATTTTCTAATGCAGCGTCTAACAGTGATAAGTGATTTCCTGGACGTCGGGAAGAACTGAGGTATGATATACGTCTCGTGTTATGAAGGTCAGTGCTTCGGATGTCGAGGCGAGATTCGGCAAATTATGGTGAAAGTGTCTCTAAAATAAAAATTAAATTGCCATGGAATGCTGATCGTAATGCAGAATTCGTAAAATGACACACTTTACCCAATACACATTTTGATTTGTCAGCGACAATATTAATGCTGATACCCGGAAATAGTCGGCTTTGGCTCTCAGAGGGCTGTTACGCCACAGATTATTATTAGTATTGTCTATTACAAAAACTAAAATATCGATTAATATATTTTAGAGCTCTAACACCTTATAAAAATACTTATGCACCAAATAATATTTTTTGACCGATGAGTAAGTAGAGGCGAGTTCCTGTCAAAAAATCGCCGCACTGGTGCGGCAACTTCTCCGACTCTCTTACGAAGCATGTAGCCTAAACAAAAGATTGCAGGCGGTTTAATCCTTCAACGCAAGCAATCCAATTTAAACTTCTATTGAACCAAGTATCAGTGCTACTATATTGTTCACTCTGAGCCCCTAACTGCAAGGTATAGTCAACAAATTACCTGACCTAGTCACCATATATAAAGTATTAACATATATTTTTAATACAAGGAAACTAATTATGTTTGAGCAAAACTGGCGAAAAGCATAATGAAACGAATAAGAGAATAATTAAAAGTTTAAGTTCATTTAGACATTTTTACTTTGTTATGTTTTATATAATGCTAACTATTAAGTGTATAAAACAATTCAGCACTTTTGTATAGACGAGAAAACTAATCGGTCAGTCTGACGAAGAATGCAGACTGGAAATAATCCGTAAAAATAAACCCCTTCCTTAGGGGAATTACCAGGAATGAAAACCTAGAAAATGTCGTAACGTAAAGCTCTTCAAATGGATTATGATGTTCTTGGTTGTTAGGCCGTGTAGTCTTGTAGGTGGTTACCAACAATTTCGAAGAAACGTATCGCCTCCATTTTCATCTCAGGACTTTCTTTACCCCGAAGATAACGGTGATGCGTCACGTTATTGACCGAGCTTCCCTTACTCACATAAACATAGTGCAAAGGCAATGTAACATTTAAAGGTATATGATTATAAACCTGGTATGTATCCTGGCGAAATTAGCAGTACAATTATTCATACTGTCAGGTAAAATGTTATGCCATTCCTTTACGGTCTAATGAATTAAACTCGGAAGTCACACGGCAAGAGAGTGCATAAAAATGTATGAGAATGCCACCTTGCCCCGCCCTGTCCCATTAAACTGTAAGTGAATTTTCAGTGCAGATAAGACTAATGGGCGCGGTACGTGCGATAGTTTTACACCTGAGAGCTCCGGCAAGTCCAGAATCAATAACTTCATACAAAGTTTCCAAAGGTGCAGACTGGGCTTACGGACACGAGAAATCTCTCTAAATCCCGTCACATTCATAATGATATATACCCTTCTTATTATTATTATTATTCAGTGTTCTGTCTTACGACAGGTCCATTGCTCTGCCCAAAACGAGCTCTCCAGTTGCTTTCCTTCGTGTAATCTTTGCTCGTTGACTCTCCTCAATACTTCTTCGTTGGTCACTCGATCCGTCCACCTGATCTTCTCTATTCTTCTCCAACACCACATTTCAAAACTCTCCAGGTATTTCTGTTCCTTCTTCTTGAGTGTCCAAGTCTCTGCTCCATACGTAACACTTCACTAGTTTCTTCTTCATCTCCAAGCCCAACTTGCTAGTGAGAAGTATCCTCTTCTTGACGAAAGCTGCCTTGGCCATGGCTATCCTTGCTTTTATCTCCTTGGTGCATACAGCGTCCGTCGTGATTATGCTTCCCAAGTACTTGAAATGCTTCACATTCTCCAGCTGTTGGTTTCCAATTACAACGTTCAATGGTTCTGCTCTCGGTGCTATCCTCATTACCTTTGATTTTTTCGATTCCCTTCTTACACTCCAGAAAATCGGAAGTGACATTAGGTCATAATAGTTTAAATATTCTAACTAATCATGTACTAAAATAAATAAATTATTTTGTATGTTCATTAATAAGTTCCAATATTCCCAGAGTTTTGTCTCTTCTTATTTTAAAATAAACGTTATTCTGAATAATGTTAATTTGAAGTCAATCTCAGCGGCTGCGCGGTCTAAGGTATCGGTCTTTGGGTCTTGTTCAATTAAATACCGAGATCGATTCCCGCCCACGGCATAGATGTTTGTTCGCGTCTTTCTGTTTTGTGTTGTCCTGTGTCGGTAGAGAGGTTTTGGGACGGGTAATCGATCGTCTGAAGCAGAAGTAACAAATGTTGAGAGGCATTCATAATTTCAAAAGTAATTCTGATCTTGAACAGGTCATAAGACGTAATTCGTAAGATCTGATGGTGCTGCTAACGTAAAAGATAAAAGTATTTTCTACATATTCAGAAAGAATAAAAAGTTTAATTCGTCCCCGTACATCACAGCATTAGGCTGTGACTCAGTAATCATATACTGTAGTGTTCTGTATTTTTATGAGCTGTACCTCATAGGATTGGCAATGTCATCATGAAATTAGTGCAATGAATTAGACATTATCGAATTGTTACATGCGGACTGACAGAAAAATTTGGTTGCGCTAAAAAACACCGAAAAATATTGAAACTTTATATAACACAGTAAGAGACGTAATTTTAAGTCACATCGTCAAGAACACAATGTTATTGTCTTAAACAACTTGCTTGACCTCGGGGTTTGTTAAAAATTGGGAGTAATGGCCCAACACCCATCCACACAAACAACTACTGGACTTTCATACGCTCGAATAAAAACTGTAATTTATAATGTAATTTTGCTACCAGCTACAAATTTACTTTGTGTTTTCGGTTATAACTTCTTAATCGCAACTCCTTGAAAGTATTCCGCATTTATTCCAACTTAATATTGATATTTGCCAAGCCAAGGAACAACCAACGTCACATGGAACTTTTTTATACATAGTCACGAGGTGTGAAATCTTATTCCCTCGATCCATAGAGTTGTCTGAAGCAAAACAAATACTTGCGTTGAAGATATTTATGTGTACCATGAATATCACTGACAGTTCCATAACGAGCAGAAAAAATTACAAAAATACATAATTTGACCTCTTCTTGTGATACTTATTGATGTAAATTTACTTATTTCAAATACGCTCAGGTGAGTGAAAACAATATACAGTACAGATTACGTGTTTTGAATATATTCTTATCCACCCCTTTCGAGAAAGCAGGTAAATAATTTTTGCTATGAAAATGGAAATTAGTTATCGCCCTGATGATAAAGGCAGCAAGGACCTCTGAAACGTTGGTGAACTTCTATTAGACTACACGATTTTTTTTTCCAATAAGACAGCCATCTTCGGACGCACCGCCGTCAAAACCTCAAATCCTACAATTTTTGCTATCTTCAAATTAAAATTTCTAGCACGATTACGCCGCTGCTTTCAGTGAAGAATCAAATACACGCATACAACTTCGTATTACATTTCACCTATCAAAACAAGGGTATCATATTCAAAGATGATTTCCATAACGATAAGAACTAGCTTCATGGAATATAACCCCTCTGCTATTTAAGAAATTCCTAGACTTTTATAGAACCCGAAAGTTCATTGTAGTCCTCGACCAGTCAGTCCATGTGCAGAGCTACATGAATCCCAACCTAACCTTCCCACCCGATTTCTCGAGGATCCATTACAATAATTATCCTCACGTCTACGTCTACGTCTTCCGAGTAGTCTATTTCCTTCAGGCTTTCCAATCAAAATATGTTCCTCAAAATTCTCATGTCTCCATGCGCGCTACATTTCTTAATCGTAATGAAACATGCGCATATCTCACCTGGGATTTCCATTTTGTGATCACTCGCTCCATACCGCCTATTGGTCTCATTACTTACTAAACTGTCATTGGGGTTTCGCCGACTATAAACTCCTTGTTTGAACACAGTATCTTGCAGTGTTTGACAGTCACTCGGCGCAAAGTGCTTGGCTCTCCACATGCGACTGTGCTCCACAGTCCGCAGGAGCTTACAAATTATTTAACACTGCCTAGGTCTACTTCAGTAGCTTAATGGTACCAGTATTTTTCATGAGCGTCTTTCACTTCTAGATCACATACGAGGCCGAGTGCTAGCAGTAGTACAGCAATTCTAAAAATGAGCGTAGTCGGTCTGCAGCCAGCGCACACTATTTGCCGTCTTCGTACCATGCCCCTCCACTAAAATCGATATTGTCACGTGTTACAGGGTTATGCCTTTTTTTCCCTGTTGTAACATGCGCCCTACTACAACTTTACGTGTTCAAAATAACAAACAAGCCAGAAATTGCAATGTAATATTTTATAAAGGTTAAAGGAGAAAAACCAAAGACAGTGTATTACAGGAATCTACGCATATTACGAAACGCTACACGGGTCTTAATTGTTTAAAGAATCGTTATTTTTCCGCGAGAATCATAGGATATCCTAAGCCAAACAAACCTATTCCATGTTGTCACATCTTATTTCTCTGAGGTACATCATCCTTCCCATCTATACCTACGTTTGCCTATAGGACTCTTTCTTTCAGGTTACCTTGCCCAAATTATGTATGCATGCTAACTATCTCGCCCACCACATTCTCCTTTATTTGATCATATTAATAGTATTTGATAAAGAATAAAAACTGTAAAAAGTTTAGTCACAGAAAACTGCAGACGTAAAACATAATAGTGTGTTCCGGAATAAAGCCGCAAATAATAATTGCATTAAAAATGTATCTGTGGGACAACGAAGAATCTTACTCAAATAGGAGATTCGAGTTTAACTTCTACCCTACTGCTGCAAAGATGACGAAGAAAGAAGGTGAACGTGAAGTGCAGCAAGCAGTTAATGCAAATGTTTTAGTTTTAAATACGCCACTGGGGCGACAGAAGCATACATTCTAGTATAATATAAAACTGATGTATAAAATCAGTTCATTTCAATAATTTAGTAATATTGTACTTTCTATCAGAAGACCGCAGTGACAGCGTTGTTTAGGGCGTGTCCGATATTGAACGACTACAGCAATGACACCTGGTTTCAAATCCCACTGGGGGCATGGAGAGGTTATACATGCCCGTGTGTTCTATGTTGCGCCATTCCCTAAGACTGCAGACCTTACAATCGACAGCTGCACCGTCTAAGGAGATGTACAACAGTTAAAAGAACCCACATCATCAGACGTTGAACTGGAACACGGCAGACGGCCTAATCCGTAACATCTGAAGATCTAATTAGAAATCGGAAATGCCTTAATCACGTAACTTGTAAATAAATAAACTTTAAGTAGCCTTGTATTCTAATAGTTTGATTCCAACGCATAAATGAAACACAGAAGATACTTGGCGCGCTTATGACTACAGAACGTACCTAACGTAACATACATAAAAATCACTAATGTACCGTACATGAACTCCCTTGACGTCCTGTATTTAACTCCTACGTAAACATTTTTCAGCGTCATGGTTTAGGTCTCATGACCTCTTCGGGCTCCTAGCTAATCCATGTGAAGTCTAGAATTTAAATGGCTTCATTTACTGAGTCAAAGTAATGTGCAAGTACGTCAGCCTTGCCCTCCATCTCCCAGAGCTACGAAAGGTCCTCCCGTTGCTCCACGTTGGAAAACCGAAAAAAGGCTCTAGGTCTGACCTCCAGATGCTTTTATTCAGAGCGAAAGAGAGAGAAAAAGTTGTGTTTTCGAGACCTCGTCGAGAATGGAGAGCCATCACAAAGCAGCTGGGTTCAGTTCTGATACATCTCTTGAGTTTTGACTGTTGTACTGTACCTTCAGTCAAAAGCCAGGGACTTCGGTCGGAGTATATCATTCACAAAGGCTTTATGTTTGTTTGTGTTACACGCCAACGCGCATCATGCCTGGTTTTAATGAAAAATAAAGCAAAACTGGTCGTTATGTAGCACGTGATTCACAGGATATGGTTTTGCGTGCTTATGCTATTACTCGTTTGTACATTAATGTTATTTCGAGGATCAGTCATTTCTGAAATTTCACAGATAATTTTCAAATGTTATGGTTCATAACAGAGATAGAACTCCCAGCAATGTACAATGAACGTATGGGCCTATAAATTTTCCCGTAAGATAGGTCCACCAAATCAAATAGCACTAAAACATTCACATAAACCCCAAACTGTTTCCTACACAGTCTGTCCTATTATATGCTTACGTTGCATCGTGTTTAGTTTCGATGAAACACATACGACGTACCTTACGAGATTTGAGGTGATTTATATCTGACTCCACGCGCCCATCAACTGATTCCTTAAAAATACTGTTCTCCACACACCATCCAAGGCCACTCACAACTCTGATTTGTTACAGACGTTTTTTCCCCATGTGACATTGGGATATTCGCAATCAGCACTGCACCTGGATAAATCACCGCCATGGAAGTGACTGGCAGATTGAGCTGAATAAAATCCGTTTCATTTTATATGAGAACGGACAAAGAATGAACGAAACCATGAATTTGTTCGTTAAAACAAACGCAACAATGCGGCACGTAATGAATCACAAAAGTTGATTTGTGGTCTGTTCTCTTCGTAATGTCTGTTTTAAATGAGAACGGTAAATTGAAGTTAATTGATTCATAATTATATGAGTTAAAATAAAAATGCCTGTCCATTTGAGCAATCATTATACCAGTGCATAACCTGTTAAATTATCATTTTACAAACACCAATATTCCTTATACTAATAAAACAAGTTGTGTGTAAACAAATATGTGTAAAGAGTACTAACATGTTTTCGGGATACGTGACAACCATTATTACAGCTTCAGCTTAATTGTATCTTAATTAAGAACAGAACGATGATCCCTCTGTACCGTACGACAGAAACCGAACGAAACAATTCATGGTTACTGTTCCGGGACAGAACCACCAAGTACGAAGGACAAGAGTTTGTGTAACTGAAATCAGTTGGCAAGGTTCCATGGGATGGCCAATCTCACGAGCAGCAAACAATATTTCCACACTTTTCCTTAACAAGAGACATGCAAAGGCACATGACAATTCCGACTGGTGTCTTCTGGTTCGGATTCCATGACGTCTTTAATGTAGTTACCAAATTTCGTAAAAAAACACTGCCTCCAGAGCATTTTAACCTGTTCCTTTGCAAAAGAAATTCTTAAATACTCTTATTTCAACAAATTCAGGTTCTGGAGAAAATTTTATGTACCGATATTCCAAGTGTTCTTCAAACCACATCACAGTACTAGTGAACAAAACCAATCAATAAGTTTCTCGTTACGTAATTATTCTCCCCAACACTTTCTCCTTAGCTTGTTATCTCAGAGTGACTGAGTAGAAGTACGACAAATGAAACTTGATTTTTTAACACTAACATTCACATCGGTCAGCAGATAATTAAAGATGATGAGATAGACTGGGCATGTAGCACGCAAGGGAGAGATGATAAACCCATATAAATTTTATCAGGATAAAGTGGTGGGAAGAGGCGCAACTGATAAAATAATATTGAAACGGGTCTTACCTAATATGATGAGGCTGCAGCCTGGAGTTATCTGGCTCAGGGCAGGGACGAGTGAAGACGATGATAATGAACGCTTCGATTCCTTAAAAAAGCGAGGAATTTCTTAAGTGGTCGATCGACTATCAGCTTCTCAAGGACTGTGCTCCATGGAATTAGATGCGATAATCTGGTCTCTGTGTGGCAGACATACGAGTGCAAAACCATACAGCAATCACCAAGATCGTAACATAAAATAACATGCTGAGATTACAGCTTCTCGCGGCGGCGGACATTAAGATCGCCGTCTTCTTGGATGTTGTAATCTGGTAGAATTCTCGTAACTTCTACCCCAAAATGCACGAACATATTTTTCAGCAATTTGTAAAACTTCGCATAACAAAACACGGTGTAAAAATAGTTTGTACATTATAGATGGCAGGACTGCTAATGTCACTGCTGAAATCTTTTGGGAATAGATGAAACTATAATTAACAATTGCTAGGGACAATAACAAGTGTAGCGGTTATTTGAAGTAATGCTGTGAAGTATAGGTTATGTTGTATCCAGAACTTTGTTCAGTTTTGTGCATAAGATTGTCGTTATCTGATTATTTTATAGTTACATCTAGCTTCGTAAATGGAACTTCCATCTGTAGAAGAAAAATCAACTAGAATTGAAGCCATAAATAAAGATGTTGTACATCAAATCTGCTCTGGTCAGGTTAGATCTTAAGTTTTGTGAATTATCTTATTGTTATTCATTACTTTGACCCCAGTGTTTTACCTGATCTATTTAAATACGTTTAAGTTGTTATTATATAATACTCTGTCTATCAGGTTGTTCTGAATTTAGCAACAGCAGTGAAGGAATTAGTTGAAAATAGTTTGGATGCAGGGGCAACAGTTATTGAGGTTCGCCTGAAGGATTATGGAAGTGAACTCGTGGAAGTGATAGACAATGGGACTGGTGTAGAAGAAGAGAATTTTCAAGCCCTCAGTAAGTGAGTTTTTACAACTTAACAATATTCGAAATCATAGTATTAGAGAAACATAAACATTTAACAGTAACTCACTTTGGACATGTAATTAATAACAGTTTATGAAAGTGTCTCTTTTGTGTCATGAATCATGGTTAAGAATAGAGTGAAAATGAAGTTCATGTTGAAGTAATACATTTAAAAAATTATCATTCAATCTCAAACCTGTATAATGATCAAAGAGTCACTTCTTTAGAGCAAAGGAATTTAGTCTGATTTCTGTCTGCATCTTGAGTATGGATTCTTATAATGCTCAGATAAACTATTATAATTCAACATGTTATAATAACAATTCTTTCTTTAAGCTCTTAAACACCACACATCAAAACTAAGGGAATTTACTGACTTAGTATTAGTGGAAACATTTGGTTTCCGTGGTGAAGCACTTAGTTCACTCTGTGCCCTCAGTGAAATGACAGTTGTCACCCGACACTCTTCAGCATCCTGTGGAACAAGATTAGAATTTGATCACACAGGGAAAATTATAAGGAAGAAATCCTGTGCCAGACAAGTAAGTGTGGCAATTAATATTTATATACTCAATTTTATTTATTAGTTGACTTATCTGGTTTTGTTACAAGCACTGCACTGAGTGCTTAGTAAAGAAAAATATACAAGACAGAAATACACAAAAATTTTATTTTGTGTTAAAATATAATAATAATAGCTTGCACTATATTTAAATTCTGTGCATTTCATTCACACATATGCTACATCTTATCTCAGTGGTCATTAGGAAATTACTGTATAGGTATTACATAATACATGCAGTGACATTTTTATCATGTATTAACTAACACTTTAGGATAATGTAAATTAGTAATGTAAATGAGGTATACTTGATGGATGTTACTGAATAACCATATGTGATTGCCTAAAATGTGAAATGAAGTATTCAGTAATATTTATTTTTCTCCTCTCTTAAAAGTCTTATTATATTACTTTCAGTTTAGCAATTTTTTTTTCAGGTTGGTACTACAGTATCTCTTCTGAACCTTTTCAGTTCTTTGCCTGTGAGACAGAAGGAATTTCATCGTAGTCTACATCGAGAGTTTGCAAAAATGACCCAGTTTTTGTATGCTTACTGTCTAGTCTGCATAGGCACCAAGTATGATATTTATCCAAGTAGCACAATATTACCACAGAGTAGTATGTTACTGTCCCTTAAATATTTGATGGCAGTGTACAACACATTCCCTATAAATATTACTACTTTATGTTTAAAAAAGCCACAGTAATTCACATTGTTGGTAGCATGTCAAGTACTATTCAGAAATGATCACAGTTTCATCTAACAGTCATATCTATGAGAATACCGTTTTAGAAGTGTTCATACTGACTTGTGTCTCTCTATTTTCTATAGAAATTGTGCGTATTGCCTTGCACCTGTATCCTTCAATCCAGGATTAAACTATTGCATCATTCTCTGCCTTTGAACCAAATTTATCATTGTTAGTCCAAGTATGTGCATAAAAATACTCAATAAAAATTGAGAAGTCATCCGTGAGTTACCACTGTACTGGAAATTTTAAACGTGTATAAATTTGTATAGAATTTGCAAGCATAGTCATTCATGAAAACTGTTCCATTGATTTGAAAGTAACTAGGGATGACAGACTCAGATTTGCATTATGAATTCTGCATAATAAATGAGCTTCATCAAGCCATCATTAAAGTGTAATCAAAGCATATTTCAGCCCAATTCACATATATTCACTTTTACTGTTTTGTATATAGTTTACATATACTTTTCTCATAGACAATTAGGCATTGAAAAAAAAACAGTTTATTCTCACGTCTTGAAAACTTGTGAATAGAAAATAAGCTGGATATATTACAGTCTACTATTACAAAGTAGTTAAATTTACTTAAGCACATAAATTTATTTATTTACAATGACAGAGAAACAGAAAAGTCTCTTGATTTTCTTTCCTATTTGACAGAATTTTTGTAACCTGTTGGAAAGGTCATAATTTTGCTGAAGAAAGCTAGTTTGTTAAAGTAAAACCTCTTCAGATTTGTTATTTATTGTACATAATTTTATGAGATACGTTGTAAGGTAACTGTTATAATTCCTTTCACAGGATCTCTTGCACTAACCAAACTAAGAAAGGAGGTCGCACAGTTGTGGTCTCTACTCGAGGAAGTGAAACAGTCTGCGACAATATTGCCTGCATTTATGGGGCTAAACAGGTCTCTGTTAAGTATTGTAATGTATAATGTTAAGGTATATTAGTTTTCATTACACATTGTATATAATCTCCTGACATTATTTGTTCACTTACCATTCCAAAATGCACTAGCAATATCTTATGTACAGTATATCTTATATTTTACCATGTGGTTAATAATTTCATGTAAGGTGCAAAGTCTGATGGAGGTTTTGCAGAAAAGACCACCTGAAACAATGCTGCAGGCATATGGGATATCTGAAGCATTAACATCTACTAAAAACCCATTCCAGCTTGAAGGATATATATCGTCATGTGCACATGGTCAAGGTCGGAGTACCACTGACAGGCAATTCTTTTATGTCAACTCTCGACCCTGTGAGCCAACAAAGGTGAAGTACCACAGTTCTGTAAGAGTTATATTATGTTCTCTCATAGGCTTACATGTGGTGGAATTAAAGAGAGACTATTTTTGACTGAAACACCAAAAAGATTGACTACTCTTTCTTTCTTTATCTGAACTCTTAGGTCATTAAAATAGTCAATGAAGTGTACCATCAGTTCAACCAGCATCAGTATCCATTTGTATTCCTTAACATGAAGACAGCACGTAGCACTATTGATGTGAATGTAACACCAGACAAGAGACAAATTTTTCTGGACCATGAGAAGCTTCTTATAACAACCATTAAAGTAAGTGTTTGAAAATGTTATTGTTAGTTATTGTAATTTAGTAGACACTCTGATGGTAGGGTATAACCAATATTTCTTAATATTGCATTGATTTGAACAGGCTTCCCTCCTTCACCTATATGAAACAATCCCATCAACTTTTAATTTTCAGAATATTTCTTCTAGTCCTGTTCCCCAAACCCCTCCATCCCCAACAGTAACAGCAGCAGGAAATCTTGAAGATATGTTTAGGCAATGGAGCCATTCCCCTGCTTATAATCATTCAAAATCGCCTACATCAGCACCTGTGAAAGGGAGGGGAGTCAAACGACTATTGGACTCAACAAAAAAAGAAGGAAGTGCTAAATCAAAATGTAAGTCACCAATTTTTCAAGTAAAAGTTTGGCTGTAGATACTAACTCATGCCATCTTTAGAAGCTGATAGTCACAAGTTTCATCATTGGTGTGTTAAAAAATTCATGCATTGAAAATTTACTGGTTTCTCTAGTTGAATAAATAATACAAATGGCACTATAAATTTATTTTTCCAGTGCATTGCATCAACAATTTTTTCTCACCCAGAACAGAGGAAGGAATTCAAAGTATATCAACAGAAGTAGAAATCCCAATTCATAATTCTTTCGGTATTAATAACACTTTGAATACTACTCAAGATGAAATAGAGCTTGAAAATGTTCGAGTTATTAATGATACTGTAGAATTTTTGAATGAAGGAATCCATACTGAATTCAATAAGAACAAAGGTGAACATGCAAGCCATGAGGTTTGTATGGATATTTATAAGCAGACAACTGAAAATGACAACACTGTTATCACTGATGAAGAAATAAATCAAGAATCAGTAAAGGAGTCATTAATGACTAGAGAATCTAGTCCTGGAGATATAAAAGATACAGATGTTATCCAAAATAATTGGACGAATTATACAAATGAAGAAATCAGTCAACCATGTGAAACTGAAGTATCAAATGGCAAGGTACAAAATATTGTAGTAAAGCTTGATGATGTGAAAATGGACGACTTAAGTCGTAAAATCGTTCATATGTCTGTTAGCATTGACCACATAAAACTGAAAATTGAACAACATAAGAAGCACAATGCAAACAAAGACAAACGTCAGATGTCAGTCAGATTTCATGCTGAAATTGATCCAACAAAGAATGAGTCTGCAGAAATTGAACTACGTAAAGAGATATCACAAGATATGTTTGCTAAGGTGAGTAACTGGTTTCTAAATGGTGTGATGTCAATACAGTTGATCACTATCATGTGGAGAGATGAAAGAATAAAGAGATAGGCAGATATTTTATACTATTTAAATATGCACATTAACTGACTCTCCTAATGAGGAAAAATATTCACAACTACTGTCACTGGACCCTATCCTGAGCAAGATGAACTCAGTCAACACATACTTTCTTGAAGTTTCATCTTAATATCCCTACCTGTGCCCAGATTTACCAAATGGTCTCTTCCCTTCAGGTTTTTTGACAATTCTGTATTCATTTCTCATCTCTCCCATGAATGAACAATCAAGCCTATCAAATAGAATAGCTCAAAGATCCTTGGTAATCTTTATAACAAAATAAATGTACTGTTTCAGCTTTATATTCTGTATCACTTACCTTTACTTTGAATTACTTGAAAAGTGATGTAATGAAAAATGTATTTCTGAGCAGATGGAGATACTGGGCCAATTTAACTTGGGATTCATTGTGACACGTCTTGGACCAGACCTCTTCATTATTGATCAGCACGCAACAGATGAGAAATATAATTTTGAGATGCTTCAGCTCAACACTATACTGCAGAACCAGAGGCTTGTTATGTAAGTACTTGTCGATAACTGTAATACTGACAAAAGAAAGTAATTTAGGAGAGTAAGTCCATAACACTGAGAAGAGCTTTGCTTTATATTCAAATCTATAATAAGCCTACTGATCACAAAAATGAACAAGAGTATGATAAAGGTTATACAGTGAGATAAGAAAAGGCAACATTATACAGAAAAAATAAATTGCAGACCTAGTAATAACATGCTCCAACAGTCCTGTCTCAAACAACTTCTGAACATGATTGAGAAATTTATATAACCCATGAACCTTCCAACATTCCCATCTTCCATTTTTACACCCTTTCTCACCTTAATATGTTATTATTATTATTATTAAGTGTTCTGTCTTACGACAGGTCCATTGCTCTGCCCAAAAAGAGCTCTCCAGTTGTCCCTATTCTCGGCTTCTCGCTTTAATTCCTGGAACGTCATCTTCTTTCCTTGTTTAAGGTCGTCGGTTAGCTGTATCAATCTTCTTCCTAGTCCTCTCTTTCCTTCAACCTGGCCTTCGATGATATCACTCATTAATCCATTCCTTCTCATAATATGTCCCAGCCAGTTAGCTTTCCTTCGTGTAATCGCCTGCAGAATGCTTCTTTGCTCGTTGACTCTCCTCAATACTTCTTCGTTGGTCACTCGATCCGTCCACCTGATCTTCTCTATTCTTCTCCAACACCACATTTCGAAACTCTCCAGGTATTTCTGTTCCTTCTTCCTGAGTGTCCAAGTCTCTGCTCCATACGTAACACTTCACTAGTTTCTTCTTCATCTCCAAGCCCAACTTGCTAGTGAGAAGTATCCTCTTCTTGACGAAAGCTGCCTTGGCCATGGCTATCCTTGCTTTTATTTCCTTGGTGCACAGAGCGTCCGTCGTGATTCCCAAGTACTTGAAATGCTCCACATTCTCCATCTGTTGGTTTCCAATTACAACGTTCAATGGTTCTGCTCTCGGTGCTATCCTCATTACCTTTGATTTTTCAATGTTGATTTCCATTCCATACTCTCTACCTGTTTCCACTAACTTGTCCATCATGTTCTGTAATTCCTCCTCTTCCTTCGCCAATACTACTAAGTCGTCTGCATACTTTACAGTCTTTATCACTCTTCCTCCAATTTTGAAGTCTCCTGTTCCCTCCAGAGCTTCCTTGGCAAGCCATTCCCCGTACAGGTTAAAAAGAATTGGTGATAAGCAGCATCCCTGTCTTACACCTCTACCAATCTCAACGCTGTTGGTGTCTCCTGAATCCAGTCTCACTTTGACTTTTTGCTGCATGTACAGGTTTTTGATTAGTCTTCTGTCTCTCCAATCAATTCCAATTCTCTGTAGGATCCTCATTAATTTCTTCCATTTTACTCGATCGAAAGCCTTCTTCCAATCGATGAACACACATCAAATTGAAATTAATTTACAGTAATATATTTAGGTACATTTTATTCTTCATTACAATAATTTTAATGTAATTCAAATGTACAATTACATTTTAAAATCATGTCTAAATTCTTTTCCCCCAAAATTTGAAGTTATGCTGTGAAATATTCTTCTTAATGTTCCAGACCTCAGAAGTTGGATTTAACATCAGTGAATGAAAGTATTCTCATAGAGAATGAAGAAATATTTAATAAAAATGGATTTGATTTCATCATTGATGAAAAAGGTATGGTTTTAAATAATATGCGGTCACTGTGTGCAATGTAGACATTACACTGTTCATCCAATAACAAAAATGCATTTACAATGACAGGGTAAGGTATGTTGCTGGGGAATGAGTGGCACAAAGAAGCCAGTGACTTGGTACTAAGCAAGTAAACCATACGTGCTGCCAGATTTGGTACATTCGTAGCACACACGGGAGATGATAACTGCATACAGGGAAGAACACACTTGGAAGACCATGGCATATAGATGGGAGAATTGCATTAAGATGTACCTTATAGAAATGAGTATGAGGATGTAGGCTAGATGGAAATTGATATGTGGAAATTATTGTTCCAGCTGAACCAACAAAACGAGTACAACTGACTGCAATTCCTGTCAGCAAAACTTGGGAGTTTGGAAAAGAAGACATTGATGAATTGATATTTATGCTACAAGTAAGAATCTGTATATAGTATACCTTCTGACAATGATGACAAAACTGCAGTCCCCATGCTATGTAAATATTGCAGCATTAGCATGTAAAATTATAGATACAAAGGAATTCCCTGTAAATTTAAAAGAGACTTTACATCTTTTTGGAAATAGTACATTTGAACCCTCATACTATGGGACTGCCGGCCAGACTTTAACTCCTCAGTTAACAGTTTACCAGTATGCTGAAACATGCATAAGCCATGATACATGGACAATGAATGTTAGGAGTGTTTTTAAACAGTATTTCAATATGTTGTGGCAACAAATTTGGTAACTGATATGATTACTGAGTTCCTTACCAAATGTCTATGAAAATTTCAATATATTTATAATTATATCCAAACATTCATAATACTAAATTCCATAATCGTGGAAGTGTTATTGTGCAATACATATGTATAATTAGGTATATGTTATTGAATTTCTTTGTATTAAGAGTAAAAACATCTTTGGGAAAAGAAGAATTGTTCACTGTAATGATATTTCATTCACGTATATGAATGCAGTTGTGTTAACGAGACATTTTTCAAAAGAAAGTCTGGCTGGCATTTTTTTTTGTACTAATTTGGTAAACATTTTCTAACATGCAGAAACATTAGGATTATACTAGTCTAGATAAAGTGACTGGTTTCAGGATTCCCCACATACCATGTGTCGACCCTCAAGAATTCGGTCAATGTTTGCATCCAGAGCTTGCCGTAAATCTGTTATGATTGGGACAGCTTTAAGCAGAGCAGATATGAGGCGTCTAATTGAGAACATGGGACAAATTGAACAGCCGTGGGTAAGTATAATGTATAACATACTAATAAATTATAAGAGAGCTAAATGATTATTACAAGACAGCAATGTTTCATTAATCTTTTTTGTTTCTTCTTTTCAGAATTGTCCACATGGACGACCAACTATGAGACATCTCATCAACCTGGACCTTATCCATAATGGATAACACTTTGTGGCATTTAATTTTTCATGATACGTGTAAGTTTCAGTAATATTCCTGTGCTAAGATCACTGTAAATATACTTCTCCAAAATCAGCTGTTGAATCTGATAATAAATATAACATAAACTGTGCTGAGACATTACTTTGGTTAACATTCCTTTCTGTTACCCTGTTTTCATATTTTTCTGCAAATCAGATCACAGTAAAAAAAATATGATGCATATTATTTTGAACTTAATCCATTATGTTTTACAGAAATCTTAAAAAAACCTGAAACCTTAAAAATCACTGTGCTTCAAAGAATGGATGGGAATATCTCAGTCTACCAGACCGAACAGAATAGATGTCTATCCCCTTTTGACCTGAAAATGAAGGAAGATTTTGAAGGTTTTAAGATGGATAAGTCCAAAACAAAAGAAGTAGTAATAATAGATCATCAGAAAAGACATTTAAAAAATTACACAAAGTAACATGTATCTTACCTCTGCTATAATGTATAGCAAAAAGAGCAGTGGATTCACAACATATCTAAATATTGTTGGATTTTCCACTTCTACAGTATTGATCTGTAATAGTGAGATTATTAAAACAGATGGTTTTCATAAACTCCTTAATTTCTATGGAAAGACAGGATGCATATGGAGGACAAGTAGTAAGGTTTGCCAATTCTGAAATAAGTTCAGCGATAGCTATTTACACAACTATTTTATACCTCATTCATACACTGATTGTTCTAAAAACATTAAACCCACTCAATGCTGTACTGATGATGACTCCTGGAAGTTGTGGATGCCAGCGTAACTCTTTGACGTCTGTTTGACCTTGATGGATGAAGAGTAGTTGTGGTGGCAAATCCTGTAAAAGAATAACACGGTGTTCCAAGTTCTAAAACACTGAATCACGTGCAGTGAAACTCGAAAATGAAAGTTGAGAAATCTGGGTGCCTCACCAGTACTTCAACTGTACTGTACTTCAATTTAATCAAGCAAAACCATGATACTGTGAATTTCAAGAGAAAAGTAATTCTCAGAAAAACTAAGAATTCAACAAGTCACAAATTCACAGTGACATTGCACCTGCCCACTCAGTCTAGTTCATGTGGCTTTTTTAACACAGCAGAGTGCCAGTAAAACTGCCTACCTACTCACCAGACACAAGTCCTGAGACTTCCTTCTGATACCCAGAAAGAAGGGGGGGGGGGGGGAATACCCACTCAGGAGAGCAAAAATTTGATGAATTTTTTTTATCAGGATCCACATTTCTCTCGACACAACAATGCAGTCAGAAACTTTTAAAGTCTGAGTACTCTCTGATACAACCAAAGTCATCCAATGCACATTAAGCAAGAACTTCAGGAGCCTACAGAAGTCAATTTATACTTATAGTACCAAATCAGTGTCTGCATTTGAAACCGGGGACACGCATGCAACTTTCCAACAGTGTTCCATACGAACTGGAACCCTAGAAATAAAAATGTCAACTTACTTTGATATCATCTTTACAATCCTCAGCATCTCTTTCAAGAGCAAGGTCCCATAATGCAATCTGATCATCAGAACCTCCAGAGGCAAACACAGTGGCTTCAGATGGATGCCACTGAACTGTGGTCACTGGCTGGGTATGGTGTTTAAATGTAGCTACAGGAGACCCACTCTGTGATAAAAATAGCTAAAATAATACAACTATAATAAAATATGAAACAAGGGAAATGAAATAAATGCAACTTATAACTCATACTCAGAAGAGAAGGGAAGGCACATATGACCATGATCCTTAGTCTTAAGATTACAAACATACCCTTTCTGATCCCATATTTGGACTGGAAACATGAACTTATTGGTTCATACAGATTTTATATACTGGTATATTCAGATTAAAACATAATGAACAAAGTCATAGCATTCCAGGACTGTTATTTTATTTGTGGGCCATACTTGTTTTAAGCCCCACTTAATGGTACCTGCACCTTGTCGTGGTGGCAGGGCTTGAGTACCTTAGTGATCCCAAGAGCTATGCTGGTGGTAGCATAGCTGCTGGTAGGGCCTCCCTAGCCAGATTGGTCGAGGGGGAGAGGTCAGACTAAGACAGGTACCCTGGTCCTCCAGGTTGGGGGTTGGTAGCAAGGCTAACAACCTTGCACCGTAAAAAGGAAGATGTTTCAAAATCTCAATCAAAGCCTCGGACAGAGGAGAATTGAGGAGGCCATGGACCGAATACGGACCGCAGAGCCATAGAAGATACTTGTTATAAGAACATTAATTTTAACTCTATGTGCCCTTCTTGCTGATGAAAACTGCCCTAGTAGACAGCAGTATTTAAATGTCAAAAATGATAAGACAGCCTCGAAAAGGTAACTGAATGAGACTGATAGGATATATTTTGGGTCTTTCACTGTGACCATGAGGCAGACTTGCTTTTAGTATATACTGATGTTACATAATACTTCAGACATAACTGTAAAAGTAAAGAAGATATTTTAGATGACAAATATTTCTTAAATATAATGAAATATTCTTAAGAAAATTATCCACTTACTAGTGGACTGCTCAAATTACAATAATGTGAAACATATACACTTTGTTTTAGAACAAAATTACAGCTTCAATTCCACAGTCTGAAGTTGTCTGACTCATACAATGGACACTTATGCGTCTCTAGAAATAGAAACTTTGAATCAAAATGGTATTTAAGTTTAAATAAAGTCAAGAGTAAATAAACTCTGTTGTAATACTTAAAGTGGCAAAAATTCTATCTTGGTGTAGATTATAGGCTTTGTAAGTTACAGGAGAATTAAAATAAAATAAAACTAAACCTGAAAAGAATTACCTGAAACTGCCTCAAGTCCCATATATGTAGCATTCCGTCATCACCTCCTGAGGCTATAAAAGGCTCATTCCTGTTCCAACTGATGACATTAACATCACTTTCATGAGCAGAATGTGCAGTCAGCATGCAAGCTTTGCTAGGTGCTGCACGAGTATCCCAAATACGAACGCTGCCAAACAAATTAACACAAACATATACAATTGCTTAAAAAATGTTGGAGTAAAACTGCCTCATGTTTAAATTCCACATTCATCGAAATTCCAAATTTGTCCAAAAGTATGTCAATATAAATGCAGGAGATTAAAACCACAGAATCAATACTGTAACTTCAAACAATGTAAAGTCACATCAAATGACAAGTATTATAAATCATTTACAAAATGATACAAAACATGATGTTCTGACACTGCTAAAGATGTTCATGATAGTTTACGATATTCTTTCAAAGTTATATTCTTGTGAATATTTACCTCTTATCAACAGAACATGATGCCAAAACACTTCTTTCATTTGGTGACCATTGCAAGTCTTCAACTGAGTCAGTATGTCCTACTAATGGTCTCTGATCAACATGCCAGCTTCCTCCATCTGCAGGATTCCATACATGGATGTTACGTTTGCAGTCTCCAGTAGCAAGCACTCCTGCAAGTGTTTAAAAAGTTATCTCTGGCATGTTTTATATTTTTACATAAATATTCATTCTAGGGTTAAGGTATTGACTGGTCTTCTGCGCCAAAGATGCCAAGACTGAGAATAGCCATATCTATTGCAGATTTTCCCACAAGCCATAAAATATAACAACAAATGTGAATTCATACTGACTCTTAAACAAAACATCACTTGAATTTGAGAATTGTATATTCACCTGCCATAGTAGGACACCAATCCACTCCAAATCCTTCTGCTTGATGGCCAGAAAATGTAAAAAGTGGAACTGGTGCTGCACCATTTTTATAACGAACCATGGCCTCCTTATCATTCACAGCATGCAAAGGTTCTGTCAAATTCCAAATGTGCACTCGCCCCAATTCAGACAATGAAGCTGCCAAAACAGTACTGTTGTAATTTATGGCCTAATCATCAACAAAAGAAAGCAAATTAGAGTACATTAAATCACATATTTGGTCGATCCTGTTGTTCTTCTAGATTTTGATGCCGGCATCTACCTAAGAGTCTACAAGGTGCCAAAAGCCAAAAAAATATCATAATTCTCCTCACTGCGATGAAAACATCAAATCTCATACATATTCCATTATGCAATCCAAAAATAAATGTTTGAGAAAGAAAGAATTGTTTGAGACTGGAATTTGCTCAACATTACTGCAATGCATTCATGGCCACACCTAACATTAAACAGATTGCTGGTGATTCTTTACTCTCAGACATTCTGAGGCAAGGTGTGGATTCTAGAAAACTTTCTTCTCCTTAATGTGGGAATGATATAAAAGGAGGGTTAATGTTACAAAACTGTAACTACAATCAGTATAAAAAGTTACAGATAAAGGTTTCAGGTTGTTAGGAATTCCTCATTATGGTGAAGATGTTGGAAGAAATTACTCTTTTATAAAGTATTTTCACACATGTAACATTAACAAATGGACAATGCCAAACATCTTCCTTACTATAAAGAGGTCTTTTTAAACTGTATTAATTTTATCATGGTTACACTGCGTCTCGGTAAATACTTACACGTATCCTATTTACACAGCCTTGGTGCTTAATTCGAGCACATTCAAGATGTGCAATTTTACTTTCATCTTCATCTTCATCATCATCATCACTGTCATCTTCATCATGTTCATTTTTTTGTATCTTATGCATATTTGACATCTAAAATGAAAACATAATTAACATTTTATATTCAAATGATTATTGTTTCTAATCTGTAAGGCCATTTTTAAAAGTCACAGATTCTAACACTGCAGAATATAGAACTGGATGATGGGATTATTAATGAATAAATTGGAAAGAATACTGAGGGAAGTGGTCATTGCCCAATCTGAAATACTATACAGCATTTGCCTGGACGGAAACTCAGTCAGGATATATAGTCTTCGGTACGAAATTTCAAACCAGGGCCTACCGATTACGAAGCACTCGAATTCGATATTTGACACAAACCTTCATCACTAATACATTATTTGTATGAGTTCGTGCCGCCTGAGTTCCAGCCACAATATAGGCACACAACGGATGCAGTTCTCTTTTATCGCCAAGACTGTCATGAATAATATCGAAACTAAGACAAGGTGATCCTGAAACGAGCACATAAATAAAAGCGATATGGTTAGATAAACTTCAAAGTGAAACAAGGACCTTCTCGAAAAGGTCTGACACAAAGCAACACGTAAAAAATACACGAAATATTTGTTGTGCAATTAACGTAATATCCAAAACCACGTGGAGTGGAATCTTACCAGCATGGACTTCATGAAGCATCACATAAGCAGATTCATCACACACAAGTTCTTCGTCTTCTTTGAGAGGCTGTCCAGGTAAATAAATGCCATGTTTCTTTTCATCTTCATTATCAGAATTTAAATGATCTGTCATTTCAATATCTTCACTGTTCTCCATCTCACCTCACGTGAACGTAGACTTCCACACCACACAATCCACAAGTATTACCAACATACACAAGGTACATAATAAAACATTGACTTCTTTACCCACGGATTGTCTACATTAACTTATTTTTAATAGACTCCACGGTTCACCTGTATCACCCAGGACCTGCATGATTCTCAGATCAATATAAAACATGATAAGTGATGGAAAAATGTTATAAAAATGTAGATAATAAGATTATTTATCGAGCACGTTCCGATTAATAGTACCTATGCTGGTAAACATTGGTAGCACGTGTTGTACGGAATTATACTCGTTCTTGTCAGCAGATGTCTCTAATATGAAATTGGATCTAGGGATATAACTACAATAGTTATATCCCTAAGATCCAATTTCATATAAATCAATGCACAGATCTACCAGTGTTTGTGGCAACATACGTGGAGTATAATATCACTCATTATAAGCCTGTTATTTATCCGGAGATGTAGTGAAGCTACTAGAAAAGTGACCTGGCGGTAACAATTGGTATTAAACCATTGCAGCCATTACCAAGAGCTCAGTCGGTAACATCGTCAACCACCATCCAACTTACCCAAATACCCACTCACCTATTCATAGCATGGAAATAGTTAATTTTACAAATCTTCAACGATGGTCTTCTGGGATATTTTTTTCGTGCAGAATAATGTATATTGGCTTCTAGGTTTTGAAGGTGGCTCTTAAACTAAGAGATAATTTGAGTAGGCCTGCTCATTGCATCTTAAAACATTACAGCATGAAAGAGTGATGTTGGGATGTGGTTCCATGCAAGACAATACACAAATTTATATTTAGACTTATAAATAGATAGTGTTATACTTACAGCTTCAGTTCTTTAAAAAATTGTGTATTGCATTAAATTTTGCTTATAACAAAGTCAACAGTGTAATAAGAAACTGAATGTTTGTAACACATTGTACTTCACTGTATAAAATACATATTGTATATATGGTCCAAAAATTTCACAGCAAACCAAGTTAATAAAATTCTTTTGAGTTATCAGCTGCGACAATTGGTTACAACTTAATGACGTATCAGGGACCATCTCTGTCCTCCTCATCAGGGTGTCTGAGTGTATTCTGGGTACATTCTGCTCATTCACTGACTACTTATTTTGGCCCTCATATACAACTGAGTCACGCACCGCCATCTAAAGCAACTGAAGTCATTTACACTAGAGAAAATGTTTGGAAATATTCCAAGTTATTTGGTTATTGAGGAACAGGACACTTAGGTGAAAGTGAGGGTAAAAATAGTTTTCATCGTTTACCCACATACATTTATTTAATACAGTAATTCTAATGTTTAGTAAATTGAGTACACATATAATGTGTACTGTAATATATGCACTTTTCTTGACTTGTGATCGATGTGTCCAAATCCAAAATAAATACAAATATATAGTTACAGAATATTAGATTGTCACAGTTCTTAGAAAAAATTCTATTACATTGAAAGTGAGGTTTGAAAGACTAAAATAAAAAATAACTAGAATATTATTATGTAGCCCTTTATTTAGTTAAATTAGTGGTTTAGTCTCTGATATTTTACAACATTAATTTCAAATGTATCTATGTCAAAAGCATATTCACTTTAAATGTAAACATCCTTCTGGTATAAATGTAAAAATATATTCAATTTTCAAAGCCAATATTTTGCAGTAGAACTAGAATACTAAGAACTAGTTATCAGATTTTGGTTGTTAATATAAAACGAGAAAAGCAAATTATAGTTGACTGATTTTGTTATTCCCTTATATTAGAAAGGGACAAATGCTAATTTGTGTTATATTACTTAATTTCGTGTTTAAAACTAAAGCAAATCACAATATCAGATGTTAGAAAGTACTTAGACACAAATAAATATATTTAGAGATTTAAATGCATATTTGGAAGTACTGTAGAAATTTCAATGATTACCTTTTTATCTCAGTGTAACAATTTAAAATTTCTTTTCATTACTTCTTGCAGATTATTTACAAAATGCAAGGTATTTCTAAGTTTACACTGAAACTGTGTGACATATATCTTTCTTTTGGTAAATGTAGGTTTAAGATCTGCTGTTATCATTGTGTGTGCTAAACATATTTGTAGCATAAAGGACTCCTTTTTAAAATGACGCCTTTCAGCCGAGCATTATAATAATTCCAAATAAAAGACTTAGAGACATGAACCATGGGTGGGATAATTAGCAACCTGCTTATATGACATGCCTCATCTCTAAAGTGGGTGTTCCATGTATTCAAGAAGTTATGATTTATAGTTTCACAATATGTCCAGTCCTCCAGAGGAAGTTACCCTCATTGCCATATAACTGAAAAGGCCATATTCCTTTGTGAGGAATGGAAGGATAAATACAATTTTTAAAGAAAGTGTCCACAGCATTGGAATGGCTAACACATGTTGGTAAGTTATAGCAGCCTTTCCAGTTCTTCGCTGGTCACCGTATCATCACTTGTCTCATTACCAGATTCTGTATTACCAATGCTCTCATCACCAGACCAGTGTTCAAATTCTTCTTTGTGATGCTCAAGGGCCATTAATGAAGGAAAAAGACTGTCACATGCTGAGCATCTGGAAAAAATTATAGTCACAGTTACCACGGTGAAGTAGCTTTATGTTTAATGCATGATATTTTATTATAATATTTTGTCAGTCCATTTCAGTTAGGGGTCACACTAGGTATGAGTGTTTGCAAATATTAAGAAATTTCACATATTTATTTCATCTTAAAGCTACTACATTTTAAAATATTAACATTTTAACCTTTCACATAATTTTAAAGTCATCTACCTATTTTCTGTCTTCTTGCCTCATACAATTTTTGTCTTATTTCTTTCTTATGTTACTTACTAATGGCTGAATCAGTTAAAGGTAGGACACATACCATCAACTTTCGTCCATTAACCTTTTTAACACTTTAAATTTTTTCCATAAAACTTTTGATCTCTCTAATCACAGATTTTTCAAATATTTGCGACATTTAAGCCATTAACTCATTGATTCCCACGTTTATATACGTATTCTATACTATGTTTCCACGAAAATTTCTGTAAGGAATTATGGTAAAATCTAAAGTAGTACTGAAACACTTTTTTGTTGAAAAATCTCATAATACAGTCTATAAAAATTAAAATCGATATATACATTTGCTTACCCATAAATTGTGGTAGCTGAACTGTGATGATTTACCATTGTAACCATTCTTCTAAAACTAAACCTTCTTCATGCCTTTAAATACCATCAATTTATACTTTATTTGTATTTATGTATGAAGTCACTTACGAAGTTCAGCAGTCAAAATATAATTTTGCCCCACTTTTGCAAATAATATTTACTGAAAGTTTAGCATTCCAAACATGAAACTGCGGACAAACAGCAAGGAATTTTCATATTATACTGCGTTTCAGTGTTTTTGGCCAATGAACTTTGTGAATTGGAGCCTCGGAGCAAGTCACTTACCAGAAGTTTGCTGGAAGGAATGGCAGCAGGCCGCGTACAGTACACTCCAAATAAAATATCACTACGGTATGTAACACAGGAAAGTCGATTTTACTACACAACACATCATTAGAAAATCAACACTGCAGAGAGTATTAGATGTTTTTATCTTCTTCACAACTCTTCGGTCCTGTTCCAATTCTTCCACTCCTCAATGACCATCGCCTTCTGACATATCTCTCGATTCATCACTTCCGCTGCTGCTGTTCACTCCATTATCTTCAATTATAATACGTTCAATAGCGTCTTCGATTATGCCTTCTTGCTCATATAAAATTTGTTCTAGTTTTTCCACATGCTCTCATACATTATCCCATTCCTCTTGCCCAATTTCTTCGAATCTCTTTCGACACAGATGCTCGACGTTCTTAATTTTAAATGTTGTGTTCTTGCTTGCAACCCATTGTTTTGCATCTGCCCAAATAAGTTCAATGGGGTTTAAATCGGGATGGTACGGCGGAAGTCTCAGCACAGTATGTTCTTTGTCTGCTGAAATCTGTTCAATCAAATAATATTTGTGCTTTGACTTATTTAATTTGATTAAATCGTACAGTTGAGCTTCCAACACGTTGTCACAAAATCGGATGTTTATTTCCATTAGCCAGGTTTTCATTTCGTCCTTCTTTGATTAAGACGTCGGTGGTTTGTCTGTGATACGAGGCGTTATCAATGACCAGAAAGGAGATTGCAGCGAACAGGTGGCATGTTCTTAACACAGCACAGTCACTAGACAACATTATCAGGCTTCCTCACTGCTGCACTCACACAGACTGTACTGACCGACGGAAACTCCTTCCTTCCTTGAGTGGCCCGCATACTGGGCTCTCCCTACAAGGTCAGCGGCCATAATCGGTGTATCCAGTTCTACCCTATTGCATCCTTTCCCTGAAAGATACCTCTGAACCTTGTTCAAACTGTTAATTTTCTGAACATCTGGCTGGAATTTTTTGCAGTTGTGCATGCATGTAAACTTGTTCCGCACTAAATGATTCTATTCATTAATTATCAATAATATTAGGCGTACATTACATAATTCTTTGTAGTGCTTGCAGGATTTTAGTCATTATTAGGACAGAAAGGGGATTTCGAGAGGTAGATGAACTGGTTGTAAATAAAGAAAAACTATTTCTTAAATTATTAATAAAATATGAGAAATTACATAACATCTAAAGGTTGTGCTAGTTACCTCATGCTTCTGTAATAAACAATCTTTGTGATAAAAAAGTCAGATGATTGTTTCTGAAGGTGTCTTGGCTAGTTGTAAAGTAAATGGATATATCTGATTAAAATACAGTGTTCAAAAAGTTTCTATACAGTAGAAAACAAAACATTTATTTACAAATAGTATTGCACCCAACATCATTTTGCATTTAATAAATGCCAAAAATATAGAAACTTGTAACATTCTGTAAAATAGAATAAAACACATTTACCCAAAATGCCGTTTCTTCTGTTGATGGTGAGCTAGCTGTCGTGGGCTGGTGAAAGAGCGATCACATACATTACATGTAAGGGCCTCGTCTGAAACAAAGTAAACAGATTTTATTTTGAGGAAGAAGAAATTGTCTCTCAGCGGATCTTTACTCAAGTTCCCTCTCAATTTTTAATATAAGTTACATACTGATGTTTACTGAAGGGAAAATACTGGCTATGCTGTATAGTTCCCATCAATCTGTCGATCGATACTCGCACCTACCGTACTAGAATTCATTTTAATATTGTCTTCACGCTCTATGTCTTCGCCTTCCTGCTGGCATATTTTATTGAGATGTTTAAACAATCTTTTAGTGTTACACTGCAGGCCTATAAGTTAATCTCTTTAGATTCGAGGTTCTGACTGCGATGAGTCCGAATATGGCTGTCTTCTTGGTGTAGCCTAGCAAAAGTTTACCAACATTTCAGAGGTCCTTGCTGCCTTCATCATCATCATAATTACCAGGCCAGTGATGGAGGCAGCAAGGACCTCTGAAATGTCGGTGAACTTCTACAAGAATACAGGGCGCTACAACCAAGAAAACAGCCCTTATCGAAGTTAATATCTATTCTAGGTACCATGGAAATTCTTGAGTTTTACTTATGTGGTATTTGCTAGCATTAAGTAGCCTAAAAATTTTAGCGAATAAAAAAGAACGAACATTGCTCGCGAGTAGGTCTCTGCGATTGAACGTTTGTCCCGTGTATTTCCTGCGTTCTTCGTAAACGTACTCTGACTTTTACCTTGACGTCTACGCTACTTGACCTTTCTCGTTTATATTGCTGACTGCATGCAAATACGCGAGGGCGATATTACATCGCTATCAAAAACCCAGTCTAATATGCATTGATGAACAAACCCGAACGTTAGTAATACTTCACTGAGGTCGATATGGTTTTCATACGACGTAGAAAGCGGATAGAAGAATCATGGGATATATTAAATTATTCTTTATGAAAGTATTTTATTTCCCGAAAAGTTTTTTTACATCCTTATCAACAAAGAGTTAAGAAAAAGAGGAAAACAAGTCGGCTATCTTGGCACAACGTTTCTCTCGCTGGTGGTTAAAATGAGAGCACTATGAAGCTAAATATTCATCTCATCTCTTTCCAGTGCCTAAACAATTAATGTGTGAGTTTTACCACTACGATGGCAACATTCTTTATGTGGTGAAGCCACTTAAATTTATTTTACAGTAAACTACAGTACAATCAGATCGTCAGTCTGACAAAAGTGCTATTCGCCAGACATTTCCTCCACAAGAGACAATGTCTTGAACAATTTTCGGTAACAGATTATTAGCCATACAACTGATTTTCAGAGTGAAGAGATGAATCACTATAATCCTCAGAACTTGGCAGCTCAAAAGTGTTGAAACCGCCAAAGTGAAAAAAGCGACGAATCATTCATACAGTGACCAAAAAAAAGCTAATCTTTCTTATATATTCAAACCTTTGAACACCGCGTTAACAAAGAGCCCTCGTACCGACACCGATTAGGAATTTACTTTTAAATTTCTGTGGGGAAAATCTAGTGACAGTAGTAAAGACTGATTAAATGTTATCGTCTAGACCAGTGGTAGTCAACCTTTTTTGTTCGCGTACCCCCAGATATAATTTCTCTTCAACTTTTTACCCCAAAGTTGTTGGCGTATAATTCAAGTTATACATAGTATATAATCTATATCTAAAATAAATTATAAATAAATTACATTACCGATTATTCTGTGTTTATCATAAAACTTTTTTTTAAATTTCACGTACCCCCTAAGATGTCTTCGCGTACCCCAGGTTGAATACCACTGGTCTAGAGTATAGTACAATTAAAATTGTTTTAGAAGAAAATTATTATATGTATTGAACATAAACCTAGGTGTTAGCCGGGCTAACGTGGTTAACATGAACGCTCTACCTCTGCAAGGCAAGATAGAGAGGTTTTTCGTTTGAAAGCCACAGACGTGCCCTCTATTTCTTTAACATAAATCCATAACGTGGTTACAGCGCACAGGCCCGCTTAATCTGGTCCCTGAGGCAGAGTTCAAGATGAGATGAGGTCTACGTCAGTGCAAAAAGGAACTAAGACTGCAACGGGAAATATGGTCTACGGCATAAACATTTTTCAGCAGTCGAAAGGTCTTCTGTTTTAGGGAAGATGAACAAGCGTACCAAAGCCAATTTGAAGAACCCTGGGAGATGTAGCAAGAGCTAACGCAGTGCGATGGCTCACACTTAATGGGTTACATTTTTTACAGCGTGTCCATAAATTAGCGGACAATCTTCAGGGCGTGTAATTATTTGTTTATAACATACGAAAATCTTCCATGATCGCATATAAAGAAACTTGAACGTGTGATTGTTTTGTAGCCCGTAAGTTTTTCGCATGTGTTACAAATAAACTATTACACGCCCCTCAGATCGACCCATCAATTACGGACACGCGTATGTCTGTTAGTGACTTTCTTGAAGTCAGCGAATTTTGACCAAAATCAGTAGTGTAAATTGGGTCTTATTACATGCAGAATTATTTACGTCGGTAGGAGTGTACAATCACAGGGTTGAACTAGAACAACATGGACGTTTAATATAAAACCCAAAGATTCATGTTGCTTTTCCCACTTTCAAAAGCACACAGGTTGCAAAATTAGCAAGTGCGTGGCTATGAAAATCAAAACGCACGAGAAGCCCCAATTACACTGTCAACATGGTTTTACTCCAATCAGTGTCACGCAAATGACTCTTCAAGGTGATGTAATATCTTATGTGCGAGATTACCTCTTAGTTTCCGGACTACTGGCACTACAGTTAGCGTTATATTAACTTTATTGAGCGCGGTAGCTGACGTCGGCATATTAGTTTCTATCCACTAGACCTGCGTTTGATCTTTCATCCGAGCTATCATCAAAGTAAATTCTGAAATAATTAAGTATCTGCAACTATCAAACGCAAAAGAAACAATAATCATGGCGATAAAATTCTCTCTGATGACCAGCCCAACATTTCAGAGACTTTGTCTCTATCATCAGAGAATGAAGTGCTGGTTGTCATGGCGTTTATAAGCTCATAAATGGGGAGACAGAAGCCCAGGAAACACTAGACAAGATGACTGAAGAGGAACAGTTGACGGTGTTGCTACTTTTCTCTAGACCAAAGATTCTCATCTGAAGAATCGGTGTTTAGATGTGACTCAGGAACAAATACACATTAATACCAACCAGAACAAGTTTTATCACGATCATTTGGGTGGTTATGAACCGGTCCGCAGTTCATGAAACATTTCATTCGTCTTCCATTGCCTGTACCTTATACCAGACCGAGGGGAATTTTCTGGCACGAGGTCAGAATTTACGACCACTTTAACGCGGCCTCTCCATCAGCTTCGCGGAAAACGTCGAACGTAGAAACACTAGAGCAGAATCCGGACAGACAAAAATACATCGTTTTTGTAAGAAGAGATCTAGATTTATATCAGAGATGCTTCGTATTCGAGAGGCCTCAGGTTTGAATATCGGCCTGGACACCGGGTATATTGACTGAGAGTTTTCGCGGTCTTCTTTAGTTGTTTCAGATAAATGCTCGGATAATACCTCAAAATAAAAAAATTGTCACTTTCTTTCCAGTTCAACATTGATATAATTAAAAGCCATGTAAACCATTTAGTTGAAAGATCGCTTTTACATGACAAAATATCTGTAAAAAGTCTTTATTTATATCAAGAATCTGAGATTGTACTCATCATATTTTACTGCCAAACCGATTTGTAAGATATTTTCTTAATAAATTAATCGTTTTAAATGTATTTTAACAATTTATTTGAACAGGCATTATAATGGCCATTCTTTATAATTAATAACAAAATAATTATTCAAATTGCGAGTCATCAGATCGCGGATGGAGAAGACGGCCGACAACGGGTGGTTCTCTAGCCTAGGGTTTGGGCGGAGGCTAAGATTGTCACCGTAAAAGTAAGAGCATGCTACGAAACGTTGCAGAGCGTAAATGTGAGATAATATTTGCCGCTGGGCAGCGAACGAGTCGAAGAGGGATAACTTGGAGACAGATAGTTCTTAATTTTTTGGTTTGACGTAGCTAGTCGTAAGCCCGACCGGAGCCTGAGCCTTGGAAGTTTGTTCTCTTTTCAATTTATATATATATTTTTCTAAATACATGTTGGTAATTTGGGAGTGCTTTTATTTGTATTTGGGTTAACCCCTGTGATAATCCTACAGTGATGAGAGCCGGTTGGACTCAAATTGGTTTTGAAAGGATTGGGTGACCTCCCCTCGTCATTGCAGCCAAATGTTATCATCTCTCCAGACTCTGAGAGACAGACTGTGTGCATTCCTCCTGCACACAGGTCTATCACATGATCTACACTTGACAGGAGTGCTGGGCTGCCTCGTTCCAATACGCTTTCTCCTAGACCAAGCTGCCCTACGTCACCCTGTCCGAACGTGAGTACAACAACAGGTGTCTTTGTATGCGGTGGCTCTGGACGAGACAGAAATAATTTTGGTTTTCTGATATTTTTTACAGTCATGCCAGGCTCTTGTATCCTGCCCTTTCATAACTCTTTTGTTCGCAGGCATGCTGTTCACTTATGTTGCAGAGATTTCCTGCAGCATTACTAATCAACATATAAGTTTTTCCAGTAAAAGTAATTTTCCTACATTTTAACTATCAGATGGTTGATTATTGATTTTTCTGATGAAGGCCAATTCGCTGGTTAAATTGGGCCTAGTCAGAAAGGAAGAAATACTTTTGGCTCTGTATCAATATGGACACCCTGGGGGAGCCCGGGGTGGCCCGGGCCAGAGAGGAAACTCACCAGCCAGAAAGTCCACGTATGGAGCTGTAATGGGATCGCGCATGAAGAGTGGGAGCTGCCTTATGGCAGACCGGAAGTCACCTGCGATCGGAGTTACCGGCACCTGTACTACGACAACGGCCTGAGCCTTGGGAGTTTGTTCTCCTTTTGAATTGATATACATATGTACATTTTGTTAAATACATGTTGGTAATTTGGGAGTGCTTTTATTTGTATTTGAATTAACCCCTGTGATAATCCTATGCCGTACCACCTCCCGGCCTCTGGGATAATTTGGTTACAGTGACGAGAGCTGGTTGGGCTCATATTAAAGAGATAGCCCATTAAAACAAATGTACATGAGCCGGATACAACTGACATAGGACAGAGTCTAGCAGAGACCTCTTGTGGGCCTTTTGTTTCCATAAAAGCGGGTACAATTTTGACCATTTGAGAAACTATTAGATTATCAAGAAGGACAATGCTTCATGGAGTTAATTATTCAAATTATTAATTCAACAGTGACACATTTTCTTGTGGTGTACCTGAAAACAGGTGAGACCTTTGTACACTTGTGTATAAGGCAATTATCTGCTCACAAGTAATCTTTGTGAAAAAATGTTTGTATATGTTGCTTTAAATAAGTCAAGTATTTTAATATAAATATATCACAACGGTTTATCCCTAAGCTGCAGGTCAAAGTTTTTGTCTGACGTGATACAATAGTAAATCCCTTCAGTTGTTCGGATCCCTTACATAACTGTAGATCCTTTATTTCAACTAATATCTTTGCATTCATTATCATTGAATCATCGGAGGAACTCTCTTGGTATATCGAAAGCGTTGATATCTTCACAAACAGTAAAGACCATACTAAATACAAAAGTTCACAACACAAATACCCCGCCGAAAATCACGAGATACCGTACGCTCCAGAGCTGTAACTTATTCACAGAGTCGTAATGTCGAAAATTCTAGGAATACCCCAGTCTCTACCGTAATACGCCACCCCACTCAAAGGTTATCCAAACACTGAGCTCTCCAGCCCCGCTTTCAAACTAGTCACAACTTAATTACACCCACCTTGCTCTTTAAACCCAGCCAAATGCCTGGAGACTCAGTCCCTGCCCTTAGATGTCGAACTTCGCCGTTATTGTTCGAGGGAAGTAAGACAATCAAGCCCTAGCGCCATTTGCAGATTGTTCATTGGCGATGAATGAACAATTAGAGGCTCCCACAGACAGTTCAAGGCTATGAACGAGATTTGCAAGGCTCCCACAGACAATATAAGGAGATGGATTAAGAATTACTGGACTCCTTTAGACAGCATAAAAAGATGAATGAATAATTACAAGGATAAATTAAAAACGTTTTCGCAGACAGCATGGTGATTAGTGAATAAAGCTGTCACAGACGGCGGAAGAAAACGCTCAAGACAGCATCTGAAACGTCGTTCGAACTACAGATTTTCTTTCTGTACGTATCAACTTTTGATTCATCTCAGTTAAACAACGAAGGATGTACCTATCATAAAAACGCAGCACAAGCAAATAAATAACATGTAAGTTGAACGATACATATTGAATTAATTTAACTTTTCACGACGGTAGACCTGAAATGTGTACCTATAGGCTATATACGCCCAGAAATTTCGAACGCTGATTTATTCTGAGGTTTCTCAGCTGTAGAAACTATTATTCTTTACTAAACAATATTAAGTTGACCGGATAAAATATCATGTCATGGAGCTACTAACGTATCCAAACTAATTTAGCGATGTAAAAACTCGAATCTCTAACATTCACATTTTAAATATTTATTGGTTAATTTTTCTAATTTTTACTAATATATAACAGATGGCATTATGATATGATTTCTTGGTTAGATGAGTTTGCCAAGAAGGGTTCTACTTCGTTAATTATTATAATGTAATTTAAGAGTAAACACAATTTTCAGAATGTAGATTTTGTAAAATTTATGATATTATGTTTTATTACTCATTTTAAATATTAATAAATGGCGTTACACGAGTCTTTATAATTCATCGTCATTAACTTTACGCAACCTTACTTTTTTATCTCATTTTACTTAGCAGATTTTGTATCTTGATTTCATTATTTTCGTCTCTCCATCAAACGGTGCGTAAATATATTTAAGCCGATAGTCGATCAGAATTCCCGAGTTATCGACATCAAGCACATACTTGAAAGAGAAAAGCGAGAATTTCAGATGAGGAATTCGATCCAATTCTTGTGTGTTCTCACCGCAGAATTCAATCATGCAGTTCGTCAAAAATTAATTGCAGCAGGGGGCACCGCATTTCGTAAATCACTGTGAAGGTAAGAGCATTTATTTGCTTGTCCAGTTTATGTGTAGGCTTATCCGTGCCATTTACTTAAATAGGAAACAAGGGTTTGTTATAGGAATAGGCCTAACTAAAGTATCGATGAGGTTTTAGCAGTATCAGTCGATGTGGAAATTCATATAGATATCAAATGGTTTTATGAGTTTATAAAATTTATAATTTCTCCAGCAACTAATTAAGTTCAGAATTAAATATCATATTCTGTCACTATTTGTATTACAAATTGTAGTTCGTAAATTTACAATTCAATACAAAATTCCACTGTCTTTCCTTCTCAATCACTGAAATTAAAAAAAACATACAAATTGTTTTAATGCTATTATTATTTAAAATTTAGCCAAGAATCTTTTCTGTTTTTATTATAAACGTATCAATCTATATCAATACGAAAAATTTATAGGCATTGAATATTTGTTAAAATATAATTGTATCGATTTATCGACATCAAAAAACTCCCTAACAGTTTCACTACCGATATCGGTACAAGATCCTATTCCATTACATTAAGCACATAATGTGATACCGGGTCCCAAAGTCTTTTACTGGAATTCCAGTTTATGTTGTATAGAACGGCAAGGAGTTTTTGACAAGCTAAATAACTATCAGCTGCCCCGAGAAGGCTCTTTACCATAGAGTTAAATTTAAACTTTTTATATAAGTGCAAAAGCGACTGTAATTCCCGGTGGAAATTACAGCAGTAACTTTTGTACTAAAAGGATTTTTAGACAATAAACTTCTATGAAGTATGCTGGACAAAGGCAGCATCCAGCATGATGGTTATGAAGCTACTCGTTCTGTATGAGTCAGAGAACAATGCGGTTTGGGTTTTATAAGCCTACTGGAAGCCAACACAGGTCATTGTTCAGAAAGCGGTCAGACTGCGTGTAAGGTACGCAAAATGTATTCAGGTCGATGGGTATATTACTGTCGCAAATTTGCATAAACTTCGCAGATGACTCTATTCACAGGAACAACTCATTCTCATAAGCCGAACAGAGCGTAGAAGTGTTCACACATTCAGCCCTACGCTGTTTTTAGTCGCTTTTAAAGTAAAACGTTATCTGTCAGAAAATTCTTCTTCGTTAATATAATTTTGATTAGGTGTTGTCATTTCCAAAATATCTGAACTCCCATATTGGTAGAAAGACAATAAATTCATGTTTATTTGTGGTTGCATTTTCCTTTTAAACAGGCATAAGCGTTTACTATTTTTGCCCTCTTTTGGTATAATTTTTAAAAGTTTTACTTTCAGTTAATGGACACTTGAATTTTTGTTATTGAAGGTTCTATGTGACGCGCTGGGGGCCGGATTTCGCATCAACAGCTGATGACAATAAAATGTGTAATATTAATTAGTTAGGTAACATACGTAAATGCGCAGAGACCATAAGAATGAAATGTAAACAGAAACTTATGTGTCTGTTATTCAGTATCATCCCCTTATGGATGTCTCAAAAATATTCTGCGTTGTACCTGACACTTCAAAAGACCTGTTATACTGCAGTTGATATTTCTGCGTTGTAAGTTAACCCACCTCTACCCTAACTCACTTTGCCATCAACTGAAAGAGATGCAGGGTGGAAATTTATTGCCATACCCGGGGTAGAATTCATATCTCCTGGCGGGGCGCATTATCTCCTCTCACTTGCGTCATATGCGAACACTACACTGAGTCGTGATGTCACATGCGAGTGGCAATCTGTGGCATGTATACCCCAGAGGTGCGAAACTGATCACTTTGTTACATTCGTACGCAAAATCCAAAATGTTAATGAATGTTCCAATGTAGAATAACTTTTCCAAAATGGTTTCTTTATATTCCATGGACATAATTTGGAATTCATGATCATTCGATGCAGATATAAACCTATTTGAGAAGCTAGTCGCATTGAATGTATCACACGGTACACAATTATTTATTAATTTCCCTCGAATTTCGTTACGTATTCACTGCCTGTATGGAAATGTATTTCTAATAAAGTTGTAGGTTCTAAATGAGATTGTATTTTGTAATGTACTGTATTTCTGTATATGTTATATTTTAAGAAATTTTATTAAGTTCAATTTGGCCTTCACTTAAATAGGTATTGTTAAGTCCTAAAATTAAATTCTCCCTATATCAAACTGAATCGACATTAGATGCGTAGTTCGGAAATACAATATTTGGACGGACAGACAGACAGACAACAGGATTCTCATTATGAGTTCTTTGAATGAACTAAATATGCAAAAAATACTCATAAAACCGAATGTTACCATTGTGACGATATGAACGGTCTATCGGCTGTTAGTTGTGTGGACTTAAAGGTTTCAGGAAAGCGACGATAAACTTTCGTTTTGGATTTCCAGATATTTATTACACAGACCCTGTTGTACTTCCGAGTATGATGATGAGAATATTGTTATCATGACTGTACCAAGAATGGCACATCCTTTCTGAACCACTGAGTATGTTGCGTAATGGCTTGACGTAACCGAGTAATTTCGTCATTATCCTTGTACTACTAGGTATGTGGAGGAGTAATGAATGCCTTGTTTTTCTGGATGAGTAACAATTACAAAATAATGCATCTTCCTAAAATTAATAACAATTAATCTAACATAAGATTTTTATTTATTTTTGTGCAAAGTGTAACTAGTTATCCCTTTACCTGTATTTAAGCAAATTTCATCTACGAAACTATTCAACGGATTACGACAAAAGTTGGTATTTGAGTACATAATTCAACTCTTTTTTTCATTTCATTGCGACCAGCGTGTCGACAGGCTGATTTAGCTTGTGACAGACAGCGAGGTTGCCAAGGAAATATTTCAAGCTGAAAACGATCCTGACTTCTTGTGAAATACTGTCGTAAA